CAGTCGGGGGATGATGAGGGAAAACAATATTTGTCTTGGTTTTCCATTTTGCAGGAAAGGTTGTTCCTGCTGTTCTGCCACTTCAGGATCTGTTTCCTCTGGAACACAGACATGGAAAAATGTGTTGACACAGCCAGGAGACCTGGCTGTTGTTTCAAAGGTGTTGGTGCTGTGAGACTTCATTGGAAATCTGGGAAAATTCATGTTCTCCCTGACTAAGATCTGTCCCCAGAGTGTACAAACTAACTCTGAGACAGAGAGTGAAAACAGAACACCCCAAAGATGTTCAGAAATCTCCTCAGAGATCTCCTGCATTTCTCCAAACACCAGCATATTTTAGGATGCACTTTAACCCTGCTTTTCCCCTCAGAAAAGCCAAACTCCTATTTTCTCCCCCATGTAACCCCTTAGAAGTCTCTTTGTTTTGATTTTCTGTATAAAATAAATATCCCTATATTCCAGTGACAACCCTTCAACAGAAATAATGGATAAATGGACACAGTGGCACTTAGAGAGGATCCTTCTCTTTTAAGAAGCTTCAATTTTTTTTCTGAAGCCACTGGGACTGAGGGTAAAGCCACCTTTCAAGAAATCCCTCTCCAGGTTTCCAACTGATGGGAGCTCTGTGCTGCTGAAAGGTGGCATTAATCCTTAAATTAATCCTTAGACAAAGATTTCTTGCTTGTCCCAGGTTCCTGCTGGCCCAGTCACACCAAAGGCATCTCTAGCTGGGAAAATCTGACTTTCTTCTGTTATTGTCTTCCCCCCACACACAAACATTATCTCCCAAATAGGAACTCCTCTTTCATTTTGCCATTATGGCAGCTCGAGGAGGTGTTTTTAATTTCATAACCACATCCCTGAGGACAGAGTGAGCCTGAATTCCCTAAAGCAATTTCCTTTGATATCCATACCCTCTTCTCCTTCTATTGGTGCAATCTAAAGTCGGAGATGGATAAAAGCTATTCTGCTATAAGTTCATCTCCTGCCAGGGCAGGAGCTGTTCTCTGTAGTTTATTTCTGGTGTTTTGACCAATTTGTTATTTCAAAGTTTATTGTATCTGTCTGTTAGGAAATAGAAGTTTCTCCTGTTATTCATCCTAAATTTTTGTTCTCCTTACTTCATTTTTTTTCCCCATTTCTATTTTCTTGTAGCATGAAAGTAGAGAACAACACACCTTTCATACTCACAAGGAAGAACCTTTCCGTGGAAATAGCAAATTGAGGAAGCTTCAGGTAAATTTTTACTTCTAAATCTTTAGACAAGATAAATCTGTGTATGAAACATAAGATTGCTGGAGAAAAGAGCAGGCTGATGCTCCTGGTGGCCTTGAATTGCTCTAAGACAGTGTCTGGCTGAAGAATGGGAGAGACATTCATCTGACAGCTTCAGATGTCATCTGTGGCTTCTCTCTGGGTTTTCTAGGGTTGTTTTTTTTGGTTGTGTGTGACAAACATTTGCTGTCACTGTAGTTTCAGCAGGTTCCATGATATGAGGGAAAAGCCAGAAGTGGAGAAGGGTTTTGGCCAGTTCTGCTTGCTCCTTTCAATCTCACTCGCAGGGCTGGCAGCTGTCAAACCCGCAGAGACGGGTGCTGACCGTGCTGGGGTGGATCAGCATGGATCCTTCTGAAAAAGGGAGCTGTAGGAAAGACCCCCAACCTTCATCTGAGTCCTTTGGGAAGGAGCAGAGCAGCCTCGGGTAGGTGGTGGATATGGGAAGCCACCAGAACCCTGGGGATGTGGCTGCTCTGGGGGGCAGGAACAGGTTAACAAGCACTGAGAGAGGGAGGGGGAAGAAATGAAGCACAAAAGAAATGTCTCAGTCTCTCCTGCAGTACAAAAGAAATGTCTCAGTCTCTCCTGCTGTACTCTGGCTCCAGCCTCAGCTGTGCTTGGCCTCCCCCTTTTCCCAGCCTATTCATAGCGCTGTATTTAACACTCGTGTTTGCTTTAAAAACCCAAAGTACATCAAGGCTAAACAGAAGCATCTCTGCGGCTCTTTGTTGTCTCTTCCAAAGGCCACAGCTGAGAGTCCTCACTCCCTGGCACCTCCAGACACTAATTACAGATGTCAAACGAGGTGTGGGCTGCCACCAGCACCATCAGAGGAGAGCTGGCTTTGATGTCTCACACCTTCCCTCTGCTGACTGAAGTGGCTGCCAGAGGTGCAAGACATCCCAATCCCTCCCTCTCTTCCTGCCTGTTTGTCTCTGGAAAGCTTTCCAGTTAAAATATGGGACTGAAACAGTGCCCTCCTTGCTTCGAGGTGCTGCTTTTGTAAAGTTTGTAGTTTGATCAGCCATTCCTGTTCCAAGTCACCTCTGACGTGAGGTCAGATGCACACACAGCTCTTCCTTAAAGGCATTCTGCAATTTCAGCTCAATAACAGCTCTGAGAAATCTTTTTATTCTCATGGAAGAGAAAACCTTGATGCTTAAGGTAAATTTCATAATTTTTTTCACTAATTAAAAAAAATAAAATTATTTTCTATAAAATTTCTGCAATGATCTCCCTAAAAAGAGCTCGTGGTCAGGAGGGGCTCAGCCTCTTCTCCCAGTAAACCTGTGACTGGAAAATGGGAAATGGCCTCACCTTGTGTCAGGGGAAGTTCAGGATAGACATTAGGAAAATTTTTTTTTTTGGAACAGGCTGCCCAGGGAAGTGATGGAGTCCCCACCCCTGGAAATGTTCAAGAGGTTGCAACTTTTCAGTCTGGTTTAGGGCAGGGTGGTGATCAGTCAAAGGTTGGACTTGGAGGTCCCTTCCAACTTTAATTTAATTTTATGATTCTATGGTCTGTTTCTTTTGAGAACTAGCAATCCTGGAGCTGCTGACACGGTGTTCAGGGCACACTGAAATTCCCTCTCCCTCTGCTTTCTCCTTCCCTGCATTCCTTCCCCCTGCTCTCTCTCTAATTGTGACAAACACCCCAATTCCACTGAGATTTTCTCACCCACCTCTTTGTGGGGATTAAAGGTCCAGGAACCCTGAGACTCCAGCTCACACATTCCTCCAGGAGGGACCTTCCACTGAACCACTCTACACCTCTCTGCTCTTGTGTGAAATCACAGATAACTGGAATACAAACTATTTCTGCTTTTAACTAAGCCAGAAGCAGGGATGTAAAATATCCCCCTGTATCTGAAGAAAACTCTGTGTCCCGAGGAAGCCTTGGGGCCCTCCATGTGTGATATGTTTATGGGAGACTGAGTGCAAACCTTCAGGAAATGTGTCTTGTAGTAAACAGGTTTCAAAGAGACAGAGCCGCCACAATTTCAGCTTTGAGCAGTCAACACTGTAAATATAAATTGCCATTATAAAATGCAGTAATTGTGATTTCCAGGAGTTTAACTTTCCTATTTTATCCTGCTGTTTATACCCAACCAATAGCTGGAGCGATATAAAAATACATAGATTCACTCAAATGCTCACTAATACACAGTTTAATTCAAATTGTCCTTAAATAGCTTCCTAAATTCTATTTCATTTTGTTATTTTTGGATTTATTGCTGCTTTAGTTCATAAAGCTGCTGGATTCCAAAATCTGAATTACAGTCCCCCTCTTTTTTTTTTACTACAATAAGTTGTATACAAGTATTCTTGATTACTTTCCTTTAGTTCCTCGTGAAATAATAAAGTAACAGCTTTTTATGCTCTATTTAAATTTTGAGTGCCAGCCAAGCTCTGTCTCTCCCTGTTTTAGCATCCATATAAAGTGAGTTTTGTAATCAGCTCTGCCCTGCACATCGTAAAGCCTCCCCTCGCTGTCCGTGCTGATGACTCCAGAGATTTCCAGGCTGGGAAATTGTTGGTCACGTTTCCCCCGAGAATCCAGCCCTTAGGAAATTCATATTCCCTGATCCTGAGATTATACAGATTCCAGGAGCAGATGGTCCTGTGGAATTTCCAAGGTCAGGGTTCAAGGAGGTCGGAAAACTTTCAATATTTACACGCTCCACAACCTCCATAACTTCTCTTTCTCATAAATTTATCTGGGTGGTCTGAGGCTCGTTTTCTCTCTGAATGGTCTCTTAACTTTTCAATAAAAGCTCTAAAAGGACAAGATTTAGTTTTAAGTCCTAATATTAGCTCAAAACAAGACTCCTGTGGGTTTAAAAGGACCTTTCACCCTTCTTGGGGCTCCTCATGATGCCAATGTTTGTTCTTCTGGCAGCATTCAACCCACACTTGGTAGTTCCTCCAACTGAAGTCATATGAGGTAAAAATAAAGCAGAGTGACTCTGGACACCAAATTATGGCTGTGATGATTCAAAGGATGGGGTGAAAATTGCAGAACTGAAAGTAACCCCATTCAAAACCTCTACACGACAGGAAAAACCTGTTCCCCTTCAGCAATCTTCACTCCTGAAAAATTAAAAGCAAACAAATAGATGGAGAACTAAACTGCCCCTTCACACATGCTATTTTTTGGTTACATTTCCTCGTCAGCAAAGGGCTGATGTTGCAAATGAAAAATGTGGATTATTGCTGTGAAAATAATCTCTGCAGAGGAGGCATCAAGCTCCTTTCAGCTCCAAGAGATGGTGCTTAACCGGGGCTGTAAAATGAAAAGGCAGCAGCAGGCAGAACACAGCACTGGGAGATGGGTTATTATGCTCAGATTTGAACATTAGCAAGGACTAAAATGCAAAATGTGATTTCTAAACATCTCCTGAAGCCTGTGCTCTTAAAATGGATCCATTTTAGGAGACACTTCAATGTCTGCATCCCCACAACGACTCACTAACCCTCTTATTATGCTTAAATATTATTATTAAGAGCTTTATTCATAGCACTTTTATTTTTTCCTGTATTTTCTGAGATGCTTCCATGCTAAAAATTACCTCACGTTTAATATTGTTGCTGATACTTAAATTTTGTCTTTTTTTCCAAGCTTTGTCTTTTAAAAAATTTGTCATCTGGCTGATGCAATAAAGCTGAACAGATATGAGAATGCTCCTCCTGATCATTTTTTCCAGCAGCACTTGTAACAAATCTTCCTTTCCAAGGTCAGTTCCCTCCTTATTTAGATACCCCAGCCTTGCAAAGGTGCTCTTTACAGAGCCTGATGTGGGATTTTGGTTGCTTTTCCCTTTGTTCCAGCACGGTTTTGGGCTCATCCACCCAAGGATATGAAATATCTGCTCAGGCCCAGCAAGGACTGAACCTCCTCTGCAGGGGGAGAGCTGAAACGCTTTGAGCGAGGGAATTTTGCCGCAACTCCGAAATGTTGGCCGCCTGCTCCGAGTGTTTCTCTTGCTCCAGTTGGTTTCATCCTTTCCCTTTTGTGTGTTTTTGTTTGAAGGGAAGGTCAGGGAGCCGCTGGTGGCCCAGCAGAGCAGGAGGGAGCTGCCGCGAGAGCGCGGCCTGAGCCGCGGAGGCCGCCTGGAAGAGAACTTCTGACGGGAACAAAGGAAGCTGGAAGGACCCAGAGGTTTAAGCCACAACCCTTTGGAAACAAGAGGTCAGATCAAGGTTTCAGATTGTGTATAGTTTTCTCCTGGCTTTGATGGGAAGTTCTATTCCAGCCCAGCTGGAAGAAAGGGCTTGGAGCGAGGGGAGGGTTTGCAGCAGCGCTGGTTTTTCTGCCTTCTCATCAGGATTGCTCACTCTGCAACAGCCCCAGCCTTTTACTTGGCTGCTCACAAGTCTGTGGAGAGGAGAGTAAGTGATCCCCTTCAATGACAAATCGACTGTGTGGATAAAGTGCACACACAGAAAATTAATTATAGCAACTTCACCTCTGGAGATTTCCTCCTCCCTTCCTCGTCCAGCCCGGGGAAGGCCGAGCTAGAGCTGCCAAAAACACCTCAGAGTGCTGCTGTTCTCACTTTGTGGGGTTTGTTCCTTTGAGCACACAAAATGTGGAGAGATGAGGTTTCTTTTGAGCCAGGCCCCTGAGGGGACTCCATGACACACAGGGAGAAGCAGCAGCGCCTGGAACCTTTATAAGTAACACCATGGAGCTGGAGAAACATGCCAAATAGTCCCTGTTTTTATTTAAAAATTCAAATTGTGGAGTCATGGAATGGTTTGGGTTGGAAGGGATATCAAAGGTCTCATTCCAGCCCCCTGTCAGGATTTCTTTCACCTGGTTTCATGTTTCTGCTGAACCCGTTCCTATTCTGGTGAACAGAGGTTGTGAAATGCAGTCAGATTTTCATGCCTCATTTAGATTTATTCAAATTTTAAGTAGTTTCATGGATTTTCTTCTTTTTTTTTACCTTTTCCATGCCCTGTTTTCCTCCTAGACTTGTGTGCTCAGTTCAAGTTCATGAAGCTGTTGCAAGGACACAAATGTAGAAGCTGAAGAAATGTTTAAAATCATTAATTATAATAATATAATAATTAAGGATACATTTTAAGCATAAAAAAAATCCAAAATCTGAATAAATAACCATCCAGTGCCACTCCCTGCCATGAGCCTCCCACTCTCCAGGGATCTCCAAGCCCCATCCAACCTGGCCCTGGACACTTCCAGGGATGAACACCTTGTGCCAGTCCTTCCCTCCCCTCACAGGGAACAATTTCTTCCTAATATCCCATCTAACCCTGCTCTCTTTCAGTTTGAAGCCATTCTCACTTATCCTGTCATGTTAAAAAAAAAACAACCCATGGACCATTTGCAATTTCCATTTCTTTACCTTTTCTCCCTTATTTTTTTTGGCAGCACGGTTGCAAAAGGGTGATACGCTGACATTCTGCAAAGGACAGCAATTGGATTTTTTTTTTGCTGCCTCCAAATTGATTTGGGTTTCAAACATGACTCAACAGACATACAAATCTTACTTAAACTTGTCAGATCCAGAATAAAATGGATCAGTTGATACAGAGTGACATTTTTAACTGAGATGTTTGATTTGCAAAAATGTTCTCAGTTCCAGCTTTTTTTCCCTCATGAGCTGTAAAAGGAGTAGTTTTTGACATGTCCTCACATATTGAGTGGCCAACGATTGCCTTGATTGCTTTACCAGAGCAACAGATGGCATAATTAAATAATGAGGCTTTAAATGGTCATATTTTGCAAGTGCAAGGACAAGGCTTTAATTATTAAATTCAAATCAATAAAGCAGAGTATCTGCATTACAAAATTCTGAAGGCTGACAATGTTCCTGGAATGAGGCTGGACTTGATCAAAACACAAAACTGAAATTGTAACTAATTTTATAAAGAACATGTGGACCAAGAGCTGATTGCTTTTGAAGCAGTGCAAGGTAAACAGGGTTATCCCAAAATCCATTCAGACTTCCAAATCTGTTCTTTTGGCTGCCTCAGAGTCCTGGAATGGTTTGATTTGGAAGGGAATATCAAAGCCCAGCCCATTCCACTCCCTCCATGGGCAGGGACACCTTCCACCATCCCAGGTTACTCCAGTCTGGATCAATCTCATCCAACCTGGCCTTGGATATTTCCAGGATTGGGATATCCCTGCACTTTCTGGGCAAACCACTCCACTTTTTCCCCACCCTTAAAGACTTGGTTTTTATTTTATCCAAAGTCAAGGCTATGGAGTCACTACTGGTGTTTTTTGTGATGGCTTTCTGCTCTACACTGGATTTATAAATTTTAATTAGTCTAGTTAAGAACAGTTGCAGCAGCACAGATCCATAACCCTGCTGAGGTTGATCAATGTCTGGGGGTGGTGGAAGGGGTGGCTTCAGTCCCCCACCAGCTTGGGGAAAATAAAATGTAAATCCATACCTCAGCACCAGAAACCTTGAGGAGAGCTTGGTATTATTAATGTCTAAAATGCCCCAAACCATGTGAGTGAGCAGCAATGACCTGGTTCCATGAGAAAAAAAAAACCACAAAACTGTTTTAATTGATTGTTCAGTCACCTGCAAATGATGCCCCTGGCTATGAAATGCAAATTGGCCTGGAAATATTCTTGTTCCTGTGAGGAGAACGTGGTCTGGCGTACTTGGAATCTCAATCAGCTTGGCTTGAGGAGCCTCTCCTCTGCACAGAGCTATTTATACAATTTGAATAGAATGATTATTGTACAAATTATATATTTTAAATGTAGATGTATCATCTCTGTGTATCATCCCCTTGGTGTCCATGGCAGGAAAACTTTGAATCAAGAGACAGAACTCTGCCACCATTTATTTTCTAGATTGTCCCCTCAAATCCTGGGATATTTGCTGCATTTGCTGAGCTCCTGGGGTATTTTCTCCAATCATATCTTAAGTTATCTAAATGATAATGTTTTTCTTTCTTCCTTTGAGAGACAATCTGATATTATAATCTAATTTCACAATCTAATATGTCGCTGTCAAGGAGATATTTCCCTTTAAGCTGTGCTCCCTAACATTACCCTACATCATTTTTCCCTGCTTCAGCTCATTCATCAAACATTTATATGCAGTTTATGCACCTATTTACTCATTACTTAGCCAAATTTTACACCCTTAACTCATCTTTCAGTCTTCAAGTATTTGCCCTAAAGGTTTATTGCTGCTCAAAATGTGATTTGATTGCTAGTGAAGAAGAAAGATTAATTTTTTTCTGATTTATGTCACTGTAACTATATTAGAACATTACCTGTCTCATTTATCCAGTGTCAGTGCATGGAGAATAATGAAAAAAATACAGAAATTGGTCTTGTGGGGCTCGTGTTGGGCTTGTGTTGCACTTTGGGCAGAAGTTGGTAATCTGAAGTGACATCCAGCTGAAAAACAGCAAAGAGCAGCGGGCCAGAATTGCTGTGCCTTGGCAAAATCCTATTTCCTTCTTTGTCCTCTGGTTGTTGGAGATGCAGAGGAATAATTTTGGTGTGTGGGGCAGAGCCCAAAAAGTTCATAAATCTGAATTCCTGAGTACCAGGTGTGTGTGGACATGTGGATGGTAAAGAGAATTGGTGCTGCTTTCAGAGACTGACTCAAGCCCAACCAGAAAGTAACAATAATCAGTGTTTTTCACATCTTTGAATTAATATTTTTGCTTCACCTGGGAAAACAGACATGCTCTGCATTTTGTTGCTTTAGAGCTGCTCTGCTGGTGTGAATCCTCTGCTCTGGCTCTGTGCTCCTGCCCTATCCCAGCCCTATTAGAGGAAATCTCTGTTATTGACTCCAGCAGCGTGTGAGCTGCCACAGGGCCGTGCTGAGCAGCCCAATTTATTGATATTATTCATGCTGAGCAGCCCAATTTATTGATATTATTCGTGTTCTTGAGCCAGAGGCTCTCCTGTGCAGCTGTCTGCTGGAGGAGGCATGTCCAACCCTCAGCTCTGGTGGTCTGGGGTGTGCTCAGGGAAGGGAAAATGTGATTTCTTTGGAACCCTGCAAATCTTTATTCCTGGCTGGGAACAAGTGTTTTGGGGGGGAGTGGTGTGTGGGCGATCTGCCAGCGTTGGGTGTGCTGCTGGAACCCCAGCCTGAGTCTCTGGGGATGAAGGAATGGAGCTTCTGTCAGTTCTTTCTGATTTTAAATCATATTTTTTCAAATAGTATTTTTTCAGGCATGAGGCAGTTTTAATATTTCTCCAAGAGTATCTGGTAGAAAGAGCTGGAAAGTGCATTTTGGGGCCACATAGCATCTTAATTTTTCAGGCAAAGGGCGATGTTTCCTGCCACAGGTGATGTCTCTTTGCTGGGTTTCCCTTCCCATGTGCGTTATTCCACATTTTTTACCTCTGCCAGAATCCAGCAGCTCCTGGAGCCTTTTCCAGCCTCCAGCTCCTACTGGCACCTTTCAAACCCTGCAGGAGCCCGGGCTTTTTGGGTCTGTCACCATCCCCAAGGTGCCAAACTCATCCTGCCCCAGAGCCCACCCCTCCAAGCAAAGACACTGACCTTCTCCTCAAATATAATCATTTCCTTCCATAAACGACCCAAATAAAAAATCCCCATAAATGCCTGGAATTCACAATCAAAAAAAAAGCACAGAGAGAAAAATCAGTTTTCAATGGCTGCTCTCATTAGAGGTCTAAAACTCTGGCAATGTGTTACCTGTATTTATTTGCCCCTCTTTGTTCCTCCTTGCAGCTCTTGCATGTTCTGGTTGCTTCACTGGTTTTCCTCTGCCTTGGTTCAGTTTTGTGCTACAGTTGTTCCCTGTGGTTTTAGGGTTTTTTCTTCTCTTTCCTCTGCAGTTCCTTGTGCTGAAAAAAGCATCACCTGCTGCTCTGTGCTCACTCACCCGGGCTGAACGGGGAGAAATAAGGTTAAAAAAAGGGAAAGGTTGTAAAACTTCACAGGTGTGGTACTAAAACATCAGCCCTGACAGCTGGATTTCAAATCTGGATGTGCTTTGATTTATTTACTTATTTATGTGTTGATTTTCAAACCAGAAACTGCCCTGCCAAGCTCCCAGCTGACTAAAGCTGTGACTTTCCCTCCCCAAAACCAGTAAATAAAAAGGAGAATGTGGTGTCAGCACTGCCAATCTTGTCCCATATAAATTTTAACACCATGTTTAAGGAAAAATCCAGGAAGGATTCAGGCCTGTATGTTAAAAATGGTGAGTTTAATTTCATGTTTTTGTTCTCCTCAAGCTGTTGAGGAGAAAGAACATTGTGAGGTTGAACAGAAGAACATTCTTCAGGGATGGAGAAGTACATGTCAGATGAATTTATTCCCTCATTTTCTTTTTATTTAGAAGAGGATGAATTAAACTTACCACAGAATGCTGGCTAGGAACATTTTTTCTGGGGCATCTTTAGGAAAAAGGTAAGAATTTTAAAAGTAAGTGAAAACAAATTATAGCTATAGTTTACCTTTTCTATCTTTTAGAGGAGACTGCACCATAAATAAACAAGTTTTAAACCATTTCTAAGGTAGTCACAGTAAAAGTTCGGAGATTCAGAAATAACTGAGCTACTTTTACATATTTTCACTTTTAGTTCAGATTTTTCCATTTGTCTGAGTTAAAATCGCCTTAAAGTTCTTCCTCTAGTACAAAGCTTTTTATATATCTTTAGGTAAGATCTTTATCTTCTCAATTTGGAGGTTTTGATCCCTTGTAAAACACTGGCAATAAATGAGAAAATATGCTCCTTTCAATGGTGACCTGGGAAGGGAACTTTAAAATGCTCTGTTAAACTTTTGAGCCTGAAATATCTAAAAAGCAAGATAAATAAGAGAGCTGGGGAGTGCAAATAAAAGAGTGAGAGGTTTATGCTGCTGGCTGCCAGGAATGCTGGATGCATTCGGGTTGGAGGGAAGGAACGACAATAAAACACCAGGCTGCAAATCCATGAAGGGATTTCATGGCAAGTAGAAGAGCTAATTGTTCTTGTCAGGCTTCACACGTAAATGAAGGTGTTGTGGGGCTGAACCCCAGAATTCCAGGCTGGTTTGGGTTAGGAGGGACATTAAAAACCATCCAGTGCCACTCCTGCCATGGCAGGGACACCACTCATTGTCCCAAGGTGCTCCAAGCCCTGTCCAGCCTGGATTTGGACACTGCAGGGATCCAGGGGCAGCCACAGCTCCTCCCTGTGCTAGGCTCTGCCCACCCTCCAGTCAGGAATTCCTTCCCAATATCCCAGGAAACCTTCCCCTAGATCATGAGACAACAGAAAATGAGACCTTGATGCTTCCTATTCTAGGACTGTGTCTTCAGTTATCCAAAATTTGGCGTGTGGGGATGCCATTGGTTAATTGATTTTTTTTTTTTTGATAGCATTTTATTCTTCCTGGATGAGTGGGAATGGCTTCCCACTGCCAGAGGGCAGGGCTGGATGGGATTTTAGGATAAAATTGTTCACTGGGAGGGTGGGCAGGCCCTGGCACAGGTGCCCAGAGCAGCTGTGGCTGTCCCTGGATCCCTGGCAGTGCCCAAGGCCAGGCTGGATGGGGCTTGGAGCACCTGGGACAGTGGAAATTGTTCCTGCCGTGGCAGGGGTGACACTGGATGATCCTTAATGTCCCCTCCAACCCAAGCCATTCCATGATTTTAAGCTGCCTACTTTCAGTAACAAGATTAGGTCATGTTTCAAAGTATAGAAATTATTTTATAGAAGCAATGATTGCAAAAATTAAAATGTTTTGTGCCTTTAAATGGATTTTCAATATTCCATCTCTTTAATTAAGAAGGGCAGAAGAGTAGGAATTCTTCAGGGGAAAGAAGATATGGTTTGATATTTTAAAAGTGCTCAAAAATTTAGAGAGCTTATTAAAGTAATAAAGCAGAAAATATATTCCCTCTGTTCCCATTTATTTTCTTTATCTTCCATAAACTTGGGACCCTCCAAAGTTTCCAGGGAAGGTGTGGGAGCAGTGACCAAACTTTTCCTGGTTACCTCCCGTGCCTCAGCAGTGATCCACAGCCCTGGGGATCTGTAAATCATGGACTGGGAGCAATAAAAGCTGCAGGATAACTCACTTAAAAGTTACTTTGTGGAAATGATGATTGCTGAGTCTTGCAGCAATATGCACATGAATTGTCTCTTGACTTGGATTGAGTCAATTAAAGCTACTTAATTAGTGCAGTTAGTAATCATCTGCTAAAATTACAGATGTTCTTTTGTGCCTGGGTTTGTCTGTTTTAATAATGTTTTAAAACCTTTATAAAAAATGTCCCTGTGTAGGTGAATTTGGTTAAGCATTTTCTTTAAGTTGCTTTTGCACTAAAGGACAATTAAAAAATATATTAATTTAAATTAAATTTAATATCTGAGAGTTCTTACAGCAATATAATTCCTATTTTTCTACATTCTTATGGTTCCTGCTTCGATTCCTGGTTACCTCTCATGGTTAAATCTTCTAAACTCCGAGACTTGCATCCATGGATTTGCATCCATTTTCCTTAGCTTTTTTTTTTTATTTTTGTTTTCCCAATTAATTTACTAATTATGAAAGGCCAACTTTCCTTATGGAAAATGTCATTTAATTCACCAGACAGAGCTCTCAGACTGCACTTTGATTTTGAAATAATCTGTTGGAAGGAGTTACCGGACAAGGAAAGCTGATTGACCCAGATTAAAGACAAAACTTGGGGAAAAAGGCAGTGGAAGCAGTAAATTGTAGTGGAGAATATAAATTGTCTCTGGAAGAGCCGTGCCAAAGGGACAAAAGGCTCAAGACTGCCTGGGAATTTGGTGGGAGGGACTTTGATTCATTAAGGAACCACAATCCCGTAACAAAGTCTGGGATATGGATCCCTCCGAAGTTCTATCAGCACCACTCGAGGTTTCCTCACTTGGCAGGGGTTCTGTCATCGTCTCCAGCCTCAATGTTTATATCCAGGGTGGCACCTGCAGCACTTTGGGACTGGGATTTGGGGTTGCAGGGCAATCCTTCCCTGCTCAGGAGCCAATTCCCCAGCGCCCAGAGCTCTGGGATGGACGTGGCTCGTGTTTAGTTCTGCTGTTGGTTCTGCCATGACAAATCCCTCTCGTTTTGACTCGCTCGCATTTGTCGAGCAACAAAGTGAGAACCCAAAATATTGCGAGAATTATTTTCAAGCTGGGCGTTTGTTTTGACAGTATTGAGGAAAAAAAACCACAAAACCAGGGGAAAAGCAGAGATATTATCCTGTGACAATACATCCTTTTATACCTGAGAGGCATCGATTCACAGCAGAGCCATTTGCAGCTCTTCACATGCCTCAAAAATTGTTTACAAGGACAAGAAACCACTGCCAGGCTGCTCTGTGAAATCCTGAGGATTTTTTTCCTTATAAGAATGATGCCATATTCAGGATGGGGTGGGTGGAAGGTGGCTTTGAACAATCTCTACGTTCCTGCTTTGCAGATCCTGTCAATAAAACCAGACCAGATTTATAGACTGACTGCACAGCCCAGGAAAGGACTGGAATGCTCAACAGGGAATGAGATCACCAGAAATGAGCCCAGGAACATCCAGAGCTCACAGGAGAGGACACAGAAGGTGCTCAAAACAGTGATAGGACAAGGGGGAATGACCTTAAGGTGTAGGAGGGGAGATTTTGGTTAAGTGTTGGGAGGGAATTCCTCCCTGTGAGGGTGGGCAGTGCCTGGCACAGGGAGAAGCTGTGGCAGCCCCTGGAAATGCCCAAGGCCAGGCTGGACATTGGGGCTGGGAACCCTTGGGACAGTGGGAGGTGTCCCTGCCATGGCTGGAGTGAAATTGGATGATCCAAGCTCCTTTCCAGCCCAAATCTGTGATTTTGTGATTCTCGGTCCTTCAGGGAGGAGTTTTGGTTCCCAGAGCTCCCACCATATTTAGTGTCAATTTGTTCAAATTTGAGACCCACAAATCTTTCAGTGGGTGTGGAATTGCCCACTCAGTCACTCCACATCAGCTGGGGAGATTCTCCTCTCCACAGCGTGGGTGGATCCAGAGTAGCCAGGCTGAACTCAATAAGATATTTCTGATTTATTTGGTCTTCAAATCCTACATCTGAATTTAAGTTCAGATCCATTGCATAAACACATCCCAAACGAAATGCGGTTTAAATGAATCCACTTGGTCTCTAAATCTGTATTTTCTGTGATTTAAGTATTTCTCAGTTTTAAATAATATAAAACCATACAGGACATGCCCCTTATGTTTCATTGGCTTCATCCATGCACGTGCATGGCCTTGACCTTGGAGAAAATGTCAGTGAATGTTTAATAAATCCACAGGCCAGCCTGAACTGTAAGAATTGTTCCAATACACGGATCAATAGCACATGCTGGAACGCTGATATTAAATAGAGAGCTGCCTCAGTAATGAAAAAAACACATCAACTTTCTATGAAAAGCTGTTTTTTAGAGGCAGAGTGAGCCATAGATCAAGCTTTGACAAATTCTGCTGCTGTTGAATAGATGTTTTTCTATCAGCCCCTGTTCCACCTGTAAGAGAGAAAAGAAAGGAATTTGTGCTAGAAAGAGATTTAAAAGGAGGTGAAGGTAGGCACAGGTCCAAACAACAGTGTTTTGATTCAGAAGCTTAAACATTGGTGCATCATAAATTGTAAAATGTGTTTATTTCTCCTCAGTGATAATTCCTGTTTTAGGAGTAAAAGGCTTCATTTTATATTTCTGACAATCTGAAGTGGGGGAATCAAATCCTGATGTCTTTTTGCAGACAAAATTCCATTAATTTGCAATTCTGTGGAATTCCATTTCTTCACAAAAAGAAAATAAATGGTAAAATATTAAAAACTGAAATTTCAGTGCCCCTCCTGCTGCTTCATCCCAACAGTGCACAGATGTGGAGCCTTCAGGTGAGGAGCTCTGACTGAGCCCAGAGGGATCCACAGACTCTGGGGTGGGACTGAGACTGCAAAGTTTGTGTTTTTCTTCCTAGAATTCCAGAATGGTTTGGGTTGGGAGGGACCTTGAAGATCATCTCCTCTCACCCCCTGCCATGGCAGGGACACCTCCCACTCTCCCTGATGACTCCAGTCCCAATGTCCAGCCTGGCCTTGGGCACTGCCAGGGATCCAGGGACAGCACCAGCTGCTCTGGGCACTTGTGCCAGCCTTCTCCACCCATCCAGGGAACAATTCCAGCCCAATATCCCATCCAGCCCTGCCCTCTGGAAGTTTGAAGCCATTCTCTGTGTCCTGTCCCTGCATCCCTTGGGAATTGTCTTTCTCCAGGTTTCCTGCAGCTCCTCCAGGCCCTGAAAAGCCACCCTGAGCTGATCCCAAAGTTTCTCCTGGCCAGGTGAACAATCCCAGCTGTGCCAGCCAGCTCTGCAGGTGGGGAGGGTCTCAAAAATAATTTATCAAATTTTATAAATTATCAAATTTTATCAATCATCGAAGGCATTTTGAAATTGAATTGTCCTGGGTGGTGCCTCCCTGCCCACTTGGCAAAAGAGAAAGAAGCATGTCTGGGATGTAAAGCCATAAAATGCTTTGTGTTCCCAATCCTGCTGAAAATGATGTCACCCCACAGGACAATACATTCCAAATAATACCTGATATTTAATTATTCATCCACCCCTGCGTGATCCCATTGTCAGTGACCTCGGTGGGGCTTTGGCTGCTCTTTTGTGCTGCCTCCCTGCTCCGTCACTGTGACACTTCCCAAGTGTCCCTGCAAGCAGGGCAGCACCAAATGTTCTCTGTGAGGCAATTATTTCACCCAACAGGTGAAATAATCAGCATTTTTCCAGTAGTTTCCTGATGTGCCCACCTCCACAGTGAGATCAGTTAAAATTCCTCCTATCCCGCTGTCCATCAGCTGTGGAAAATTGAATTATCTTTGTGCCTCTCTTTTGAAAATTTGGCCATCTGTCAATGGTGTTTCCATAGCAAATCCAACCTCAGGAGTCCCCAAAGCACACCAGCTAAGCACACGTAGCCAAAATACCTCCCAAAATGTGAAATATGATGCTAAGATTGTGTCAACAAATCCAGGACAGAGGATAACTCTTCCTATAGAGTAACTGGATTATAAAAGCAGCCATGAAAACCTTGGAAACACAAGATATTTGAAATCTCATTTGATAGAGGTGATTTGTGCTAAAGCAATTTCTCCCAAAGAAATGTGGATCTAATTTGCCAACTGTGATTTGAAAGAAGAAATATATACATTGATTTCTTTTTTCTGCCTTTTTTTTTTCTTTTCTGTTTGCCCTCACAGGATGGATTTTACTCCAGAGCAGGGCAGGGGACAGAGAATAAAATATTCAATTCTACTCCCATGGTTCATGGAAATTCCCTGAGAGAAAAGATGTTCCATTCCATAGATGTGACATCCCCACACACCCCCAAATGGTTTATTTGTAGGCCCTGTATTATATTGTAGGTTATGGACTATCTTTTAATAAACACTAAATGTAAGAGGAGTTTAGCCAATTTTAGCAAGGTGTCCTCGAAGGTGACTCCTCCCTTCAAGACTCTGAGGTTTTATTTGAATTAATAAATTAATAAAGGTATTAATTTACAACACAATGAAAATATTTCCCAAAAATACCCAAAACACTGAATAATGCTTTTCCTTAGTACCTTTTTTCCCGTATTTTCCAGCAGTTGGAGATGGGAACACTTTTGGACTGGATTTTGGATTTTGCTGCATGAAGCTGCAAAAAATAAAAAGTCCAAGCGTTTCTCACAGGTTTTGTGATTCTCACTGGAGTCAAAAGGAGTGTCATAACTAAAAGTGAGTGTTTTCCTTCAGTCAAAAGGAGTGTCATAACTAAAAGTGAGTGTTTTCCTTCATGGGACATGGGAATACAGTTTCTAAGCCAGAATTTCTTTGGAAACTGTTGTGATCTGAAGTTGTTCAGGGCACAGGGATGCTGAGTTTTGTCCTTGTAATCCCTTTTTTAATGACACGAATTTAGAGCCTCCCGAGCTTCCCGTTGTCACCGAGTCCAAGGGAGATGCTGGATAGGGATGAGCAGGGAAGGATTCATGCACAAGGAATCCCATGGGAAATGTCTGGCTGTTTTATCCCTATGGCTTGGTGCTCATTTTGTACCTCCCCACTCCATGGGGTTTTCTTTCTGTTTGATTACTCTTCCCTAAACCGTACTTGTTAATCCAGTGGTACAAACACTTAGATGTTCTCCTTGGATGTTGAAGTTTCAGTTTAAAAACAGTTGTTCTGTTTGAAATCAGAGACAAATTCTTTTATTTTCAATCTAAACCAAAAAGCATTTTTCTGCTATTCAAAGTCTAAAGAAAAATCCTCTTTCTGGTGTTTTGCAGATGCAGCTGAAGGCAGAATGACTCCCAGATTTGCTGTTGCAAGCTCTCCACCTTGCTCTGTTACAGGACAGATAAACACAGGCTGAGGGGCTCTTTCCCTGCCATTTTCTCCTGGTATTTTTTCCCTCTGTTTGGATTCCACGATATGATATATGAAGTGAAATCAATAATCCTCACTTTTCAGGTTAAGGGCACAGCTGAATAAATAATTCATAAGTCATTGGATCAATGTGATTTCAGAGAACATCCACCAGCAGAGACCAGTTTTCTCAGATAGCCCCATTATTTGAAATTATCTGACAATTGTCTTGGGTAAATTTTTAAGTCTTTATATTGACCAGAACTAATTTGAAATAAGCGCTTGCTATTTGTGCCCTGCTACTTCTTTGTGACCTGCCAGCTCTGAGTCATCTCGTGCTGCCTGATTGGATCAGCAGCAAATCCTTGATGAACAAGCCTTAAAAAAATAGAATTCCAGACTGGTTTGGGTCGGAAGGGAGAGTAAAACCCACCCAGTTCCAGCCCTGCCATGGGCAGGGACACCTTCCATAGACCAGGTTGCTCCAAGCTGGCCTTGGACACTTCCAGGGATGGGACAACCACAACCTCCCTGATCTGTGCACACTTCCTTGAGTGGAAGAAATACCCGTGCCGTTAAGAAAAGTGCAGCACTTTCCCGGTGATATTTTCAAGGATAGATTGTCGGGAGTCGCAATCCGTTCTCCTTCCCATTTTTTATTGGCGCTGTGGAAACAATGGCTACAAAGGCATTCATCTTCCTGCAGCCTCTTTTTAAGGATTCACTCTGGAATGTGTAACACATTTATCTCCCAGTCCCACGGGGCTGATCCGAGCGCTCTCGGAATCAATGGAACAATTCTCGGCGTTTTCAGGGAAAGTGGAAATGCATTAAAAGGATGTTGGGACACGTTCGAGTCGCAGAGATTTCTTGCAAGGTAGAGTTCAGCACGGTGCCTGTGCTGGCCAACGGCAGAAATCAAAATGTTTTAATTCAGAAGCTGAATGCCAAGATGGAAGAACAGTAAAAAGAGACATTAATCAAAACTTTTCTGATATTCAGGCTTCACTTGCTGTTTCCATGGTAGGTTTCCAATATCTGCTTCCACACATAAGTCTTGTCCATATCGCATCTTTTGTGATAAGGGCTATCTTACCCGCTGAAAAAAAACCAACTGATAATGCCTTTCCCATTTTACAGAGCATGGAATTTAGTCCTGTGAATTTCTCAGCCAGGTTTTCTATTTTAAATTGTTTCAGCTATAGTTTGATTTGTTTCTAGTGCTATTAACAGCTTGTACATCTCTGAAATCTTATTTTTTGTCATTTATTCTTCCAGGCCTGACTCCTGCCAGGATCACACTGGGACAACAACTCCCATGCACAGCTAAAAAAATACTCAGTCATAAAATCAGTCTTCTTTGTTCATGTGCAAATCTACTTTTTTCACTTTTCCCAAAACCCTTAAAAATCTGTTTTTGCTACAATATTTACATGTAAAAGAGGAGCCAGGGTGCTGATGCACTCTGAGCACTTCATTATCTTTCTGGCCTTTCTTTTCTTGCTTTCTGTACTCCTATCATGTATTTTGTCTTCAATTTTGGAAGCAAATTCCTGGCTGGGGAGCTTCCCTAGGAAGAGATGTCATTCCTCATGTCCCTGCTCCATGAACAAAGCTGCAGGCACTGTATTTATACAGATTATAGCTGATTTTATACGTCCTTATATAATGCATTCTAACAGATTTAAACTGAGGGAGTATTTTGTAACTTCTGTGTGCGAGCTTCATCATCAAATCCTATTTGTTTTTCAGATTTTGGTTCTAATTCCCATGAATCCTTTTACAAATGTCCTTTTCTTCACGGAATAATGTCAAACAACTTTTCTGATGGCTGGGTATTGTTTCTCCTGGAACACGATGGATTCCTCTGAGGTAGGATTTGTCAAGTTTTTCCATCTCCTTTTTGTGGTCACGACTGAGAGCATTACAAGTGTTTGGATTTTTGGATACTTTGTCCTGAAATCTCTCCTTATTAACAAACTCAGGGAGGTTTTGTTAAGTAGGCTGCAAGAGAAGATAACTAATTTTGAACTCTTGAGTGCACTGAAATCTTGGATATCTCAGGCTATTTTATCCACAAATTGAGTTATTTCAAGAGAAAATATAATTTTTAAAGCAAAGCCATGATGGTCAAGCTTTAAGACATCCCAGTGCAACAGCAAAAAAGTTATTTTGACAGAATATTGAACTGCCTGTTTGAAATGATTAACAAATCCTTGGAAAAGTGTTGGTGTAATCAGTTTGCAGCTAGTCTTGGAAGGCTGTGCTGCTCGAACTGCCCAGGGAGAGATCTGCTCTGTAAATAAGATTTTACCATTCCTACATCTCCATTTCCAGCCTACAAAATCGAGGCTTCCCATGGAGGAATGGCCTAGTTATCAACAGCTTCATTTTGCATAATTGTGTTCTCTGGTGCTGCAATAAGAGCTCCCATTAAATCCTAACCAGGCTGATGAAGCACAGGAGTGAGAGCGGGGAGCAGAAGTGAATCCTGGAGCACTGACATTCCCAAAAGCACCTCTGTGGAGCTGGTCAGCACTAAGACAGTGGGAAATGCTGTTTTGCAGGGATGATCCAGATGTCCTGTGTTTGGAACAGTTCCTGCTGTGTTGTTTTGTGGGTGGATTTTAGTCCTACACTGATGCAAAGCCACTAAAACTGGTGAAGTTCTCCATGTGGGATGTGGGAATTAGACCCGTGGCAGAGCAATATCCATAACCACTGAGTTAAACCAACTGCTTGGATAGTCAGAATTGAATTCTGAAATCAAAGGATGCACTGTTTTTTGGTCTACAGTTTCTTACTAGTTTAGGATAATGTATAAAACCACTAGATATGTGTATATTAAACCAGTATAATTCAAATAATCTGTGTTAAACTGGTTTTACTCCCTCTGTTGCCTGTTATGGCCATGTCCTATAATTATGGGACTCATCTCAACACTTGGATCATCCTTTCTTCCCCAGAGCACGCTGTGTTTATTACAAACCTTCAGTTTCTCTGATACCTTGAATATTTTTAACTTTTTCTTCAAATGTCCAAACAGTTTTCAGATCATTCTATCCTCTCACTCTGCAACTGCAATGATATTTCAGAGAGAAGTAATAACCTACATTTTAGAGTTTATCCTTTTCCTCTTAGAAAACATGATTAAAACTCTGTTCTCTCTATTCTGAAGACTTAATTTATTTGTCTTTCACAGGCAGATTATTTAAAGTCTTCTAATATCCAAATGTAAATAATCAAACCTAAGGCCTATTTGCTGTAGATCTTAAAACAAAATCTCTGTTCTTTAAATCTTTGTTTCCAAGAGAGAAAAGAACCTTATGCCAAAAAAAGAAAAATCATTTTCAGTTCATCTTTTGGATAAGACTATTACAAAGCTATTGGAAGCAAAAAGCCAACCTACAAAAAGTGCACATTGTATTGCCTCAGATATAGAAGAATGAATTACAGGATTTGAGTCTTATTTATTTTCCAGAACTGCTTAAGAACATTCAATCCCATGTTAAAAAGTAGTCACTTGTTTCTTTGTTCGTGGGTTTGTTGTCGAGGCTCTTGGGGGTTTTGGCTGGGTGGGGTTTTTTTATCCAAACTTAAACAAAGCATAAGAGGAAAGTAGGGCACTGCAGCAGAGTGAGGCCTTGGAGAGGAGAAAACATCCCTCAGCCAGCGGGGATGGAGCAGGGACAGGGATGGAGCTGTGACAGGGATGGAGCAGGGACAGGGATGGAGCAGGGACAGGGATGGGGCAGGGACAGGGATGGGGCCGAGATGAGGATGGAGCAGGGACAAGGATGGGGCTGTGAGGGGAATAGGGCTGTGATGGGAATGGGGCTGTGACAAAGATGGATCTGTGTCAGGGATGGAGCAGGGACAAGGATGGAGCTGCATGAAGGATGGATCTGTGTTGAGGAAGGAGCCATATCAGTGATGGAGCTGTGACAGGGATGGAGCTGTGACAGGAATGGAGCTCTGCTGGGGATGGATCTGTGTCACGGATGAAGCTGTGACAGGGATGGAGCCATGTGAGGGATGGAGCCATGTGAGGGATGGAGCTGTGTCAGGGATGGAGCTGTGACAGGGGTGGAGCTGTGTCAAGGATGGAGCCATGTGAAGGGTGGATCTCTTTTGGGGATGGAGCTGTGCTGGGCCAGTGTCACACCATGCCCTCAGAGCTGTCTCTGCACGAGCAGTGCAGTTCCAGAGCTCTGGAGAAGGTCCCCCACACCCAGGACCTGCTGCCCAAGGCATCTCCTCAGCCCTTGGAACTCAGTCTCATCCAGAGCCAGGGTGAGCAGGAAAGATCAGGCTGGTCTTAGGCAGGACATTGGTATCATTTAGTGTTTGTAGATGGTTGAAACCTGGTCCTTCCACCCTGTGAAATGTTCTCCTCCAACTTAGGTAAGAGATTTTTAGGACTGGAATGTTTGAACTTCCATATGGATCTATGGATGATTGCCACCATAATTTTTTGGAGAAGTCATTGAAGAACGGTGCTGAATGCTCCTTTTCCATCTTGTTATTCCTTCCTTTTTAAGTTAGTCATCTCCAGAGTGGATGAAATCTTTGGAGAGGATCAGCACACGGAGGAGTTCGTTATCACTCTTCAACCCTGTGAAAACACCTCCGTTCTGAACAAAGCCACCTTGCCTTTGATGTCCCTGGGAGTCTGGGGAAAACAGGAGCAAGCGAGACTCTGGGGCAGAGCTGCTCCCTTTGGAAGTGTGAATCCATCAAAACAAAACCTTGGGACATTGTTTTCAATGCTGAGAACAAAGCATTTTGTTCCTGATTTTGCCTGATAGGGCAGGTTGTTTTGTGGAGTTAATTTGGGGAGTTCTCACACCCTCGATGGGTGAACAGAAATCCTTTCTTGGAATATTACTGTGGAGATGCTCCACTTTTACACACCCCCAGTGGAGGATTCTTGTCGCAAAATTCCACATTCCAGATGTTTGATAAAAGCAGGGATGCTGTGAATGCCTGCAGATGAGGCAGCTCCAAAATGCTTTTCTTTTTGCACTTGGAGTCCATCGGTGTAAGAAGAAATTTGAAGTTTTTTTCAAATATTTTATCTTTGAATCATGATTGAATTAGAGTCTGATCATAGACTGAACATGAGGATGTTGGTGAAATAACCTATGGATAATGCAAGGATACTCACCCAGGTGCCTTACATAGGTCTGGCTGTGCCATCTCTGGAATTTAATTTGAAATCTAAACTTTACCTAGAATTTTTACAGTAATGTTAATGGTTGCTATAAGCACAAGCTAATTTCACTGACAGCAAGAAGTTTGGCTTCTCTATTTATTTCCTTTTATCTAATGCAAAGTACTTTTTGAAATAATCTTAAAAATTCCTTGTGTGAAGTAGCTCCCAGCACAGATAAAACAAAGGTGCAGTTCTGTTACATTTAACAGGCAGAGAAATGCTTTATGAGTATACAGAAATGATTAATGAATTTCTTATATTTTATTTTAAATGTGTCTAATTATGAGGAGAAAGAA